CAATGTGGTGAGGAGAAGCAGGGTGAGTCTGGGAGCAGATGGGGATCCCATGTGTCTGTCACTGAGGAGGGAAGAGACGTTGATGACCCTGAAGGGTCTGGTCTGGGGTGGGTAGGTAGGTGCCATTGGTGAGACAGCCCAGGGAAGGAGCATAGGTGACAAGTGTGCTCCTAATAGATGAACCTTTTCTATCCAGCCCCAGACCTTTCTAGACCAGCATGGTGCTCAGCACAGAGTAGGAAGCCAGCCAAAAAGTGAACTGCCCTTGTCACCCTGTGATTTTCTGCCACCACCACCATGGGCTGCTGGCACTAAAGGCAGAGAACCCTCCAGCCCAGGGTTCCTCCCTGACTGGGAGCCCCATGGTCCTGGCCCCTGCTCTGTCCCTGTCCTTCCCCCAGCACAGAAGCCCTACTGTCACCCAACAATGAAAAATCCTACAATTGCTTTTGTATCCTCTGCCTGCTTCCTTCAGGTCTGCCTGCTTTGTTCTAACAGTCCCAGGCATATGCGTGGTTAATCCCAGGCCCCGTGGTGACATGAGGACATTTTGGCAATATTTTTTTTTTCTGTGAACAGGCAGTTCCTAAAATTACACAGCATGAGTGACCTGCTCTGCCCCTCCTGGCTTGCTGTGTGCTGTGTCCTCATGGTCCAGCTTTGCCCTCTGCAGGGTTTTTTTGGATTTTTTTTTCTTGGTACTGAGAATTGAACCTAGAAGTGCTCTACCATAGAGGAACTCAACCCAGCCCTTTTTATTTTATTTTAAGATGGTCTTGCTAAATTGCCCAGGCTGCCATATCCCCACCTCAGACTCCTGAGTAGCTGGAATTGCAGGCTGGTGCAGCCACACCCAGCACTGGAGGTTTTCTGGGTCACTCATTGGCCATAAGGCCATGGCTTTCTAAAAGGCACCTAATACTCCACAGAAAACCAGCCCAGTTTCCTTAAGGAGCCAAACACTGTTGAATCAACTCTATGTAAATGGCTATTGAAACTGTTCACTGAGTTCCCCGAGCCTAGCGGTTCTCCTCTGGGTACCTCTTCCACTGACTTAGACAGTTTCCAGATGGCTGAGTGACAGCCATGAGCCACTGGTCCGAGCATCTTGCTGGAGGCGTACTGGCAGAAGGTTGTCCCCCTAGTACTAACAGGGAAATTTTGCCCACATGAAAGGAACCACAGAGATATCTTTATCCAGTGCCCTGACTTACAGATGAAGAAATGGAGGTTTAGACAGGCCAGGTATGACATGGCTCGTGGGGCCACAGCAGAACTAGATGCAGGCCTGCTAACTTCTACCCTCTGTGACACCCTCTGGGGACCCATTCCAACATTTAGCAATTTTACTTCTGTCCAGAGGAAAGGTGTCTTTCTGAAGAGCTGGCCAAGTCCCAAGCAGGAGATTCCCCCAAAGGACCTGAAACCCTTCCGCTCCCTGTGGCTAATCACACGTTGTTTTCCCTTCAGAAGCCACAGATGAAGCACTCCGGGGAGGGGAGGAGGCCCCGTGGACTCAGACTCATGTCCTGATTTCCTCTGGACAAAAGAATTACATGCTGTTTTCTAGGCCTTGATCAGGGTAGCCTGTCCCTCCAGATGCCTCCCAGACTCTGCCCCGTGGCTGGGGACCCAGCTGTCACCTGGTAGGCCTGGGGGTTCAGCCTGCTTTGCAAATTCTGAAGTGCTCTGATAAAGGGCAGAGCTCCACAAATGGAACCAACTGTGCTCCTCTCCTGGGGCTGCATCTCTCCTGGCCCCCACCTCTCCTCCTGGGAGCCCAGGCTTTGTTTTGTTGGTGGAAAATCCTGCTCCTCATTATCACACATCATACCCAAAGATGGAGGGAAAGGATAGCATTAAATCCCAAATAAATACCAACAGCATTCCAGGCAAATGCTCCCAGCCCAGGGGTCCAGAGCCTCGAGATATCAAGTCCCCAACATGACCAGGGAGCCTGGTGTGTTCTGTGAGACCCAGCACAGCGCCACCTTCTGGGAAGAAATGCAAGGAACACCTAGGTCCCCTATTAATTATGAAAACTAGGTGGCAGTTCTTAAGGGGACCACTGGAAACTTTATAAAGTATTCATGCCTGGGTCCCCCTCTTGGGGGGACTGATTGGCCCAGGTCGTGGCCTTGGTTTTTCACAGCTCTCCAGGTGATTGTGCAGCCAGGAATAGGAGAACATAGAGAAGGAGACCATCTAGGCCAGGGCTCATTATGTGGTACAAGAATGGACTACAGACATGAATCTGAAAATCTGAGAATTGTTCTATGTAAATGATCCTTTCTCTAGACAAAGGATCCACAGATTCACAGTGGGTTCCATGTACCCCAATACATTAATTGTCCCAGGCCATCCAAAGCATACCCTTTTGGTGGTCCCAGATTCAGATGCTCAGCCCACACTCTGGTTTGGAAGAGATGGGGTTAACTAGATTAATGGGAAATGGATAATGTATATATATCTATAAAGGGACTGTACCCATTAAGAGCCATGTTTCTCATCTTTTCTGCTGGAGTGAGATCAACTCAGCATGGTCATGTTGACTATCTCATGCTGTTCAGAATCTCTTCCTGGCACTATGATATGCCTTTGATTAATAAAAAATGAGAAATGAATTATTGCTTAATTAATGCACTATGTTTGGTAGGCAAAAGCCCTCAAAACATAATGTCCTTGGGAAAAAGCAATCAAAGGGGTCCTTAGTGGTTATAGATTGTGAACCACTGATCTAATTAATATAACTCCCTCATTTGAGAGATGAAGAAACTGTGGACCAGAGAGGTTAAGGAACTCTCTTTAGGTCGCAAATTATACAAAGTTGACAGCTTCACCCAAGCCTTCCAGATATGCTCTAGGTGACCAAAGGCATTATATGTGGGATATTTTAGTCATGGAGGTTAACCAATGGGACTTTCCATTGGTCATTCTCATCCATTGTTCAAGTCCATTGACCCAGACTCAGAAAATCCTTCTCTTGTCATGGAGATTGTGTGGACCAAGATAACCCACACCCACAACAAATTTAAAAATCCCATCGTAATCCCAGGATTTCATTGACTCTAGGATGTCAACAATTGTAAGATGCACCATTGTTTTTTGAACCACTAAGAAAAAGTGCTGCCAAGTATAATTGTAAGATACCATAAATCATAAGATGCATCCCAATTTTAGAGAGAAAAAAAATGTGCATCATAGAATGGAAGAAATGGAGTCGTATAGCTGCAGCCCTTGTATAATGTCCTTCCACCAAGTTCTCTTACCTGGTGAAGGTGCCAAGGAGATTAAATGGCACTTGGAAGAAATTGCATCTATTTAAAAAGCACAAGTGTAAGAACAGGCCCGCCCACTCCACAGGATCCCAGGACAAAGTCCTGAATTTGCCCTCGGAAGACTTGGCTTTAGATTTCAATTCTGAACTGCTCCCTAATGGTGCTATCCTGGAATGTTCTTATTATTGGCAAGCCTCAGTTTCTTCATCTGCACAACAGAGATAATATACCCTTCCTCATCCTCACAGAGCAACTGGGATGCTCAGGAGAGAAAATGGCAGAGCTGTGAAAATTGAGCTGCGTAGGTGCCTAGACCACTCAGCTGAGGTCTGTGGCCATCCAGAACAGAGAGTGGGGAAATGATGGGGGGGGGGGGGTACAGAGAGTCACTCTGGGCACCTGGGGAACCCTACACAGGGATAGGTACTGAGGAGTGGACGGAGCAGGGAGAAAGCCATTTCTTTCCACACCCAGGACCCCTTGAGGAAGAACCACTCCTCATCAGAGGAAACGGACTCATCCTTAGATAGAGGACAGGGAGCCCAAGGAGGAGTCCACCTTCCCAGGAACAGATGGTAGAGATAACCAGAGATCTCAGGGGTCCTGGACCAACACCCTAAAATGCCACATCTGGCACCTGAGAACACTCATGCCTGTACACGTGTGTGTGCAAATGCACACCCATCTGCTCTGCTGGCTGTGACACAGAACTGGTTATTCAGCCTCTTTAATCAGGCAAGTTGAGCCGCCCCAGCGGTATTCCCAGGTGCTCCTTCTGAGGAGGCAACTCCCAGACCTCCACATTGGCAGTGTCCTTTCCCTACCCCCTTCTCGAGACCAAAAGGAAATGGGACAGTTGCAAAGAAATCTCTCCTCCTCCGTCCTCCTGAGAGGAGTGCGTGGAGCATGATGGCCTTCCCAGGCTGGAGGCGGTGTGATGGAGTGGGCAGGCCCTGGCTGTGTGCTCATCCTGGCTCTGCCCCTACCTAGAGGTGACCCCAGGCCATTTGCCTTTCCTCTGTGGTCCTGTTTCTTTAGGGACAAGTGGCCCAGCTGTAGGAACTGAACTGGAAGGCAATGTTTATAAGTGCCCCAAGGGGACATGTGGACAAGAGCAGAGGCACACCATGAGGGGAAGAAAGCTCAGGGTGGGAGTGGTGGGGAGGAGCAGCTCTGGGACTTTCTGATCCTTCCCACAGTTCTCCTGCCTCATGATAGGAGCAAAATCTGCATCAGACTAAGAAGCATGGAATTGGGGGTCACACTGGGATTCAGAATCTGCCTCTACACCCCGCAAGTCTCTAATCTCTCTACCCTCCATTCCCTATCTATAAAACCTGGCACCCAAACTATCCTCTCAGGCTCTTTGGAGGCTAAGTAAGATGGTGCCTTCAAAGCATATTATATGTTTTAGATGCTCCACTCTTGATGTCATACTAGTATTATAGGCATCGGGACAATGATTCCATTTGTTTTAGATGCCCCGGTATGTATATTATTTAGTTTAAAGGTCACAGTAGGGCTATTATTAATTTAGATGCTACAGTATGACTTTATATTAACATAAAAGGTCACAGGAATCTATTATCAGTTTAAGATCATATAATATGAACATCATATTCATATTTTATTATGCAGTGGGTATGTGGTGGGCACTGGATTCATGGCCTCCTGCCCCCCGGGGACCCTGCCACCACCCGCTCTCACCCGAGTCCCCCGCAGGTGGGCGGGGCGGCGGTCATGGCCGTGGGCGTGTGGACCCTGGTGGAGAAGAGCGGCTACCTCAGCGTCCTGGCCTCCAGCACCTTCGCCACCTCCGCCTACATCCTCATCTTCGCGGGCGCCCTGGTCGTGGTGACCGGCTTCCTGGGCTTCGGCGCCATCATCCGGGAGCAGAAGAGCTGCCTGTCCACGGTGAGTGCCTGGGCTGGGGACAGGTCCTGCGCTGCCACCGCCCCCTGTGACAGTGGCCTCAGCCCTGGATGAGAAAGGTGCTGGGGCCGGAAGGACCAGGGACAGGGAGGCCCTCCAGGGTCCGGGTCGCCACGTTCGCCTGGGTCCTAGGACCCCCGTGGCAGCCGTGCTGCGGCCTTCTGCGTCTGCTCCCCTTTCCCCTCCTCCTCCCCCCTCCCTTTCCCGCTTCCTCTTCTTCCTCCTCCTCTTCCCCTTCCTCTTCTCTTTCTCCTTCTTTCCCTTTTCTCCTCCTCTATTTCCCCTTCTCCTTCCCTTCCTCTCCCTCTTCCCTCTTTTTCCTCCTCCTCCTTTGGAAAGATAAGGAGTATGCTCATAGAACTCCATGATCCTCACCGGGTCACCAATTGTCCTCACTAGCTGACCTCCTCTCCCGTGCACCATGACTGCCCTCTCCTCTGCCCCGGTGGCATTTTGAAGGCACCCCATCATGTCATCTGCACATATTTAATCTCAAACTTAAGGATCCTTATTTTTTTTAGGAGGCATAACAATATTACTGTTATCATATCTTAAAACAATTCATTCTTCAATATCATGAAATAACTAGACGGTTTCAGATTACCCCAACTGACCGGGAATCTTTTCTTTCTTTTTAAGTTTGAGTCACATCTAAACTAGGTCCATGTGTTAAAACTGGTTGATTTGCTTCCTAAGTCTCTTTCCGTCTCTGGGCTCCACCATCAATTTCAATCTCTGTCTCTCTCAATCTATGGGTTGAAGGAATGAGGTCGTTTGTCCTGTAAAGTTTCTGGATTTTCCGGTTACATCCCTGTGATGTTGTTTTACATGTTCTCCATCCATGAGCTCAATCAGGTCTAATTAATTTGGTTGTGTGGCTGGGGTGCTTCATGGCTACTGTTTATAGGCTCTGTGGGCTCCTTGACACACTTCTCCTGGGAAGCTGGGAAGAATATCCACACCTGCTCAGAGTCAGGAAAAAGGGCCAGGTGGGGAACTTGCAGGAGAGCCAGAGGCCTGGAGTCCAACTCAGGACTCGGGCGGACCCAGCTCCTTGGCACCCTTGAACTGCTTGGCAGTGGCTGGCTCCTGTGGCCCAGGAGGATCTCTGGTCGGGGATCCTCCTCACCCTACAGCTCCTTCTGGGGCCAAGACCAATGTGCAGAGGAGGAAAGGACAAGGAGGCTGAAAAACAGTCCGAATGAGCAAGGAACTGGCCCAGGTCTCAAAGAGAAACAAGGCCTCAGGAAGGGGCCTAGAGGGCCCTTGCGGTCCCCACGCCTGCTACCCAGAGTCCACTGTGGACTTTGCAACTCTGTCTTGCACATGGTTCCGGGGAGTCAGCAGGGGAGGGGTGCTACCCGGGAGCCTGAGGGTGGGCCTGCAGCCTCTCTCACCAGCAGCGACCTAGTTTCTCGCCCTGGATATAAAAGCTGCTGCATGCACACCCAGCTGGATGGCTCACCCCTGTTTTGAAGAATTCCTTCATTTTATTCTGAGGAATAGCCCAGAGCCAGGGTGCTGGCAGGTGCACAGTGAAGTGCTGTAGGGGGTGAAACCCTACAGTACACCGGCCTCCAAGATGTGGGTTTTGAGGTCCTTTCAGCAGTGGAGACAGGGTGCTTTGAGCCAGCCTGGGTCTCCCTCACGTGGCCTGGAGTGAGTACAGTTGTCCTTTGGTATTGGTGGGGGATGTTTCCAGGACCCCCATGGAATCCGCAGATGCTCAAAGCCCTTATATACATAAAACGGTGTAGGCAGTGGGAGAAAATACCAAGCATTTAAATTGACAACACATGCTGCCAGTGAGGGGCGTGCTGTCCATCTCCCAAGACCATGTGACCTACCACACCTCCTGGCCTCCAGAGGTATTTTCACCCCACTTTACAGATGAGGAGACGAGGCTCAGAGATGCAGAGCTGGACTAAAAACCCAGTCTTCAGAATCCCCTCCAAGCATGCACTTGCCCTGGGGATACCGATGGAAGATGGAGGCACGGGAGCTGAGTGGGGAGGATGTAAATGTCAGCACACGGCGCTCCCCATCCTGTGGAGGGCAGTGCAGATCTGGGGCACCCAGAGATCTGGTTGGATACAGAGGAGAACTTGGGACAGGGCCCAGCCCCAGAGGTAGGGGGAGACCAGAAGCCTGGCAGTAGGACCTGGACACCTGAATATCCATAGGCTTCCTTGCCTCCATTAGAGTGAGGAGGTAACAGCACACCAGGGTCACAGCTGGCTCCGTGTGGAGGGCCATGGAGTCCAACACCCACCCAGAGATTCCAGGCTGCAGGACCCTGCAGGGTGAGCTTGCCCAGGCACTACCAGGGCCTACTCCAAACTACTGGCTTTTGTGAGAAGGCTCATCATAATAGCCCTTTCCTTGGGCAGTCTCAGAGGTCAGGACAGCCGAGGGCTCAGCTCCTGCCCTTGCCCTGCTCCCCACACCTTCATGGCCCCTCCCTCCTCGCTCAGTTCTTACACAGTCCACCATCTGTCCAGCCATCCTGGCTGACCCATGATGAAAGTTGTCTCCAGCCTCCCTGGGCACAGCCTATCCCTTGGTCTGCATGGACTGTTCAGAGGGCACCAAGCTCTGTGCCCAGGGCAGTGCAGGAAAGATGAGACGTAGAGGAAGGTCAGGGCCTATGTTTGTCCTTAGCTCACCTTCTGAACTCAAGGGTTGAAAAATGGAGAGAACTATGCCATCCCTCTGTGGCTTGAGGCAGGACTGGGGCACAGTGGCTGTTGGACAATCTGGCTTGAGATACTTCCTTCTTAGTTCTGCTTCTTCTGAAGAGATATGCCTGTGTCCATGCACACCTCACCCAGCACGGATGACCTCTCTGGCTCAGTGTCACTGAACATCCATATGAGGAAGCAACAGCTTGAAACTGAGGTCAAGAACAAGATAGAAGACACAGTGACAAACCCACATAAATACAGTCATCTCATCCTAGACCAAGATGCCATGAACATTCATCGGAGAAAAGATAGCCTCTTCAACAAATGGTGCTGGGAAAACTGGAAACCCATATGTAGCAAAATGAAATTAAGTCCCTATCTCTCACCCTGCACAAAACTCAACTCAAAGTGGATCAAAGACCTAGGCATTAGATCCAGAGACCCTGCGCCTAATAGAAGAAATATATAGGCCCAACTCTCCATCATGTTGGCTTAGGAACCAAATTTCCTCAACAAGACTCCTAAAGTGCAAGAAGTAAAATCAAGAATCAATAAATGGGATGATATCAAACTAAAAAGCTTTTTTTACAGCAAAGGAAATATCAAGAACATGAAGAGAGAGCCTTCCAAATGGAAGAAAATCTTTACCATCTGCACCTCAGATAGGACATTAATCTCCAGGAATAAGTGTGTGTGTGTGTGTGTGTGTACACACACATGTGCATACACACATACACACACACACACACACACACAGGCATTTGTATAGGACAGTGGGATCAGGCATCTCCGGCAACAAGCTAATAAACAGCACACCCCACAGCCTAGAACCTTCTTTCTCTGCTTTGCCTCCCATCCCCCACCCCCAAAGAAGCAGTGACACAGCTGGTCCAAGGACAGACAAAGGGGCAAGCAGAAGGTCCTGAGTAAGCCACATCCTGGCCCCATCCCCAGCAATGAATTATTGGGCTCTGGATTGTTTAAACAGAGAAAGTCCCCGTCGGCCACTCGTGGGCTAACACAAATAGAATTTCTTAGAACCCAGGCTCCTGTTTAGACCAAGCAATGTGGTTCCTGGAGGCTCCTTCTTGGTTTCATCTCCTCCCCCACGTCAAACTCCTTTTGAAATCTTTAATCGGTAGAAGGCTGAGGGAAACTGAAAGGGAGAAGCAGGGCGTCCGGCTCTACACAAAGTGATCCCCAAAGAGAAAAGGGAAAGATGAAAAGACTGGGCATCCGAATGATGGGCATCCAACTTGGAAGGGGAGGAGGGGGAGGACTAGCATCTCAAGTTCACAGGGAGGGGCTGTCCAGCCCACATGCAGGCACACTGTCTGTCCCAGGCTGAGCCCTTCATCCTAGGACAACTGCAGCCCATCAAAGTCACTTTCTAAGAAGGAGATGCTCATCAGGGATGTGAATAGTGCGTCTCTGAGGGTGCTGAAACCATCGGCTTAGCATTGGAAATCTGCAGAAGGGGAAAGGGAATGGGCTTTAAATTATTCACACCAGCTCTTCATTTTTAGCTAAGACTACACGAGAGGGACAGATAATTCAGGCCATCTGAGCCTAAGGCCAATGACCAGGACCGATGCCACCAAGATCAAAAGAGGAGGCTATTTTTAGAGTCTGGGTTCTGCAAACTTTTATATCGTCAGTGCAGTGAAGATCAAGATGGATGGCTCAGACTGAACTGGGTCTTCATCAGGAGCTCTTATATTTTTAGGGGATGAAGGAAAAAGTAAAAAGTTCTAGAAACCAATTTCTAAAAATGAGGGGACCCAGAATGGCAAAGCTTCCATCCAGGATGCCAAGATTTGGTGAGCCAGGGAGTCAGGTCTCCAATCCAGGGCAATGATATCCAGGCTGGGGCTCAAAAGCAGATTTTATTGTTATTTACCCAAGTTTCTCTGGGACCCTGGGTAGGCAGGCCACTCAGCCTGTCCTTGCTACCTTGGAATTTCCATCTTTCTATGGGATGAGGTGTGAGGATAATGAAAAAGCATTTTAAGGTCTTAGGAAACGAGTCACCACATTATATAAAGATCATAAAAGGGTAGCTCTAATTAACATTTACATCACCATCACCATGACCAACCTCCTTTGAGAAGAGACCTAAATAGGCAGAGTTATTCTTAGGGCCATTTCTCCCAGGATACCCACATCCTGGCCAAGGCCACACTCCCCAAAGAAGCTGGTGATGAGATGAAGTTTGGAGAGAGCCCGGTCCCTGTGCCCTGGGAGTTTGCATCCACCCAAAATCTCATTAGGTTGTCTTGTTCCACTCACCATCTGGCC